GGTGCTAATCTAGCCTTTGCTTAAGGCTATCCGGCAAATGCCTCTGTGCAGAGCTTGGGCAGGGCGGGTCCCCGGGGATCTACAGGGCGGGCGGAGCGATCAGTTATGGCTGCTCTCAGTCCCGTCCCCAGGGGCTCTGCCTCTCAGAGTCCCAGCAGCTGCTGCAAACCTCGGAGAGAAAGCTGACTTCGAGTTCCGACCGAAGCCAGACAGTCCCGCTTCTCCCGTTTGAGTCTGGGTCCCTAGAGACTTGCCCGGATTTGGAGCTCAGAGTCTGAGACTCCCTCCTGATTGAAAACAACAACCTCGCCCTCAGCCGCCAGCCCTCTCCACATGCACTCCGCACCTTAGTATTTCACTTCAGCACTGTGCCTCCTCTGAGTCTCGGTATGCTATTCTCTTTCCTCCTAGTTGTAGAACTTCCACTCAGCCAGCCTTCCTGTGGTTCTGGATGATGTTCGTTCCGTCTTTTAGTTGTATTTTTGAAGTGGTTGTTCGAGGCAGCAAACTCCGGCGTTAACCTATGCCGCCATCTTGGTTTCCCCCCTGAATTTTTCCTGTTTTGTATTTTTTAAAAATCAGGAAAACATAGACTCTGTGATATAGAAGATCTAAGCTGAGAGAAGACTACAGATTCAGTGGGAAATCTTTTTTGCTAAGAAATCAGCTGAAATAAAAGGAAGATAAATAAGATAAGAAAAGAGATGAAATAAAAATCAGCATTAGAATAATTAAAGTGTAGAATTTAAAGAAAATGAAATTAGTGATGTAGGGAAACAACTTGGGAAGCTCTGCCAGTTTGTAGAAATAGAATAAATAAAATAAAATGCTGAAAAAGGTAAATAAACCCCATGGAGGAGAGGTTTTAATGTAAACTTATTAAAAAGAAATGCTTGAGCCGGCCAGTGTGGCACAGTGGTTGAGTGTCTACCTATGAACTACTAGGAGGTCACAGTTCTATTCCTGTCAGGGCACATCCCCGGGATACAGGCTTGATCCCCAGTAGAGGGCCTGCAGGAGGCAGACGATCAATGATTTTCTCATCATTGATATTTCTATTATATCTGAAGTCTATAAAAAATTATTATTATAGTTTAAAGCTAATTTGATTGAATGCCTTTTGATCTTTTTTTGATTGTTAATGTTTTTTTCTTATTAAGAATATAATGAATTTTGTTTAGTACCAGAATAAAAATTAGTTTTGGTTATACTTTCCTTTTTTTGTTCCTTTATCTTTTTTTTTTTTTTTTATCAGTGGAAAGCTTTATTTGTCAGGCTAATATATAAGCTTACATTATGATTTAGGCTAAGTAAAAAGCTAATACCAGCCTTAGCTGGTTTGGCTCAGTGGATAGAGCGTTGGCCTGCAGACTGAAGGGTCCCCAGTTCGACACTGGTCAAGGGCACATGCCTGGGTTGTGGGCTCAATCCCCAGAGGGTGGCATGCATGAAGCAGTTGATCAATGATTCTTTCTCATCATTGATGTTTCTATCTCTCTCTCCCTCTACCTTCCCCTCTGAAGTAAAAAAAGAAAAAAAGCCAATACCATTTTTTTCTTTCAGATCTCTATAAAAATGGACTACAAAGAGCTAACTTTGTACCATTCATAGCTGTCCTGAAGGTAAGGAAAATCACTTACTTGTGTTCACTGATTAATATCATGTTGGTTGATAATTGAAGGCTTTTAAAAGATTACTATGATGTGGCATTCAAGCACAATTCATTTTTATATTTTGGTAGTATTAGTCAAAGACACTAGAGGAGAAAATAATCTTTTTTATTTAGCATTCATTAATATGTACAGAGGAAAAATTACAAAATATAGTCTAAATTATTACCTAACTGAAACATTTGATAGTTTGTATTTTATAAATTTTAATTTGAAGTTTGCTCATAAATATTATAGTGGAATGTTTAAACTTATACATTGATTTCTGAAAAAAATGATTAATTTTTCTGTTTCCTTCAGGTTAACATGTTTTCCCAGCTATTAAAGTTGCTATTCTAGAGTAACATTATTACAAAAATATTCTAATATATTTAAATGTGATTGCCATCAAGTTACCATGAAATCATGTGAAGTTGAGGCACATAAATAATTGAAATATTTGTGTGTATCATCATGGCAAAGAGTTTAAAATAGTCTTCATTACAATATAATTAAGAATAAAATAACCTCTTTTTTTCACTGTTAATATTAAGTATTTTTTACATGATTATTCAACAATTCCACATTTTTCCAATATTTATTAATAATCTACTATGTGCAAAGTACAACATGAGGCATAAGGAAAAATATAATCATGAAATAGACTATGCTACTTTGCCTGCAAGTCATTTATAATCCAATTGGGCATACAGTATATACACAAATACCTGTAACACAAAGCAAAATGTAATAACTACCAAAAGAAGCATAATTATGTGCCAAAATATAATTCCCATAGTTCTTAGGTACATAATTTTTCTCAGTCCATAATAACATATCTGAAGAAAGGATAAAGTTGTATTAAAAAAAAACCCCACAAATCTAAAACCTCAAAAATTCTTACCAAGGAGGAGTAAAAACAGTTTATCTTCAAATATTCTAAAGATACAGTAAGACAATTTTTCTGAAATATACTTAAGTTGCAATTGTTGTTGGTGCCAAACTTTATTCCCTATACTATACTTAGGAGACTTCAAACATCTGTTTCCTTAACCAATTTTAGTTTCCCAGAGGATTTTAATTTCTCTGTGATATTTATAGATGTAGAGAAAAGTACTTTTTGAAAATTTTGCTGTTAGTAATTTTTCCCCTTTATATTCATGTTCTGCATATGAGAAGGTAGATTTGCAGTATTTTTTTTCATGCCAGGAAATCCAAAGTGAAATTGTGTACAAAGATGCTAAACTATAAACAGTGAAACTAAGAAAAATAGCTACTAAAAATAGTATCTTCATATAGCATGAAATACACAAAATATAAAGAGAATGTTCACAGAATGAAACAAGTTAAAAGGTTCTCAAGGAACTTAGTAGCTGTACTGTTTTTTAACACCAAATATTTTTTGGTCAGTAATTTGTCATATTTCAATATATAATAATAGCATTATTAATAGGTAACTAAATTGGCCAGATTGAATTTAATTTTTACCACTGTCCCACCCTTAATGTTTTTCTAAGAGGAAGAAAAACCAAGTAGATGAATAATTCAAATTTGGAATTAAACAAGAACTGAGATAGGTCCTGGCCAGGTATCTTAGTTGGTTAGATAGAGCATCGTCTAGATAAGCCAAAGTTGTGGGTTTGATCCCAGGTCAGGGCTCATACAAGAATCAACCAATGAATGCATAATGAATGGAACAACAAATTAATGTTTCTCTCTCTCTCTCTTTCTCTTTTTCAAATCAATATATTTTTTTCTTTTTTAATTTTTTTATTGCTTAAAGTATTACAAAGGGTATTACATATGTGTCCTTTTTTCCCCCGCCCTTGACAATCCCCTG